ACAAACAAACAAACAAACAAAACAAAACTTGCTTTCAAAGGGAGACGGAGGCTAGATTCGGTGCTTGCAAGTGGAGCACAGGCCGAATTCGGTAGTCTGAGGTAGAGGCTGAGACCGGATTCACTAGTCTGAGGCAGAGGCTGAGGCCGGATTCGGTTGTCTATGGCGGAGGCGTGCGGCGGATTCAATTTTCTTAGGCGGACGCAAGAAGATGAATTGCGAATCGCGAGGAGGCGGAGGCGAGGAAATATAACATTCGGTTGTCAGCGAATTGCGATGTTGCTGTTGTGTGTGCAGAGGGAGGGTTTTTTTATGTGAGTAGTGGGTTTTTCCCTTTCATTAATCATTATTTAATATGTTACATATATCGATCATGTTATATCTACAGACTATACTATATATAATATAAATATATATATTTCTAAATTTTTTTTAAATAGGCATGCTGGTCCACGGGCCAACCCGCGCATCCCTAGCTCGCGTCCCACGAGGGCTGGCCCGCTACTTGGCTGGCCTAGAAAATAAAGGCCTAACCTGCCCCTATTGCGGGGCAGGGTGGGGCGAGTCGACCTGCAGGCTGTTTTGGCAGCTCTAATAATCATTGAAAAAAGGTTTTAAGAATTTAATCTAAATATTATTAAGCCCTTCTTTATAAACAACTTTCGTGGTTTTCCTATAATCAGGATGTCCATCACCACAAATCATTATCTTCAAATCCCTATGACTCGTAACTCTAAAAAACGTAATGTACAATTGCACATGACTAAATACAAGGTTCTTTAGTAGTAGGTCAAGTGGGACAGAAACTGTCATTGACTCTTATTGAGTGTCATAGAATAGGAAACCATGAGCGGGAACTGCCTACACTGAAATTTGAAGGTACCCTCAAATCAGATGGATGATTATGAGCATAGAAATAAAAACAATATCACTAGCTCTGGCACCAGTTAAAATTATTCATTTGAGTACATGGTTGCTAAGCTTTATAATAACCAATCGTGTACTTGTTGACCTCAAAATTCGAACAACAAAAATATATCACTCGAATTTGTACAAAAAAAAATATAGATGATAAATCGAATTCCGATCAACAGTATTGTTGCACAAGTGATCAATGCTTCTGAGCAGCATCACTGGAGTGTCAACCTTCAAGTGAAATTTATGGTTCGGAAGTCCAGAGCACTTAATCCCATTGAGAAATTCAGGCGTATAAAGATCATGAAGAGAGTAATATCCAGCGTCTGACTTGCAAGGGGTGTCCGAACTCAAATAAGTCCTTCTTCCTTTCCTTGGATTAGTTCAGTGAGCTCATGTACTCGTTAATAGACTTAACGACATCAACAGTGGAGAAAATATGGCTATGTCCTTCAGATAGCTAAGATCGGGAACTCCCGAACATCGGGTAGGTACAGTAAGCACCCCTTTCTTATATTTATGAAAATCACTAATTTTTTTTAGAAATTTTTTAACTTTTTCGAAAACATTTTTAACTTTGAAAACTTTATTTGGGTACTTACCAAAATTCTTTATTTATTTATTTATTTATTTATTTATTTATTCTTAACCTAAGCTTCACATGTAGGTTCTTAGGAAATCACATCTCGAACTTTCTTTCTTTTCAATTCAATTAAGACATAGCAAAGCGGTCGATACTAAGTCATTAATTGAAAGACGTCATTATCTCAAGCATCATTTTTGTTTCAAAAACATGAAAAAACTAAACATGTTCGAAAACGTTCTTTGTGGAAGCATAAATAATAAACATTTTTTTTACCACCACTGCACCTCGTGTCTGGCCAGCAAATCAACCTGAAAGATAATTGTGGGGGATGAGAAAAAACAACTAGCCCAACTTCAGCCTATACTATGCAGTTATTCGATATAATTAGCGGATAATATGAAAACAACATGAGACATAAATAATCGTAACACTTCACCTTCTCATAGGCGCTTCGCCTTCTCATAGGCGCTTCGCCTTCTCATAGGCGGAACATTCTTGTAACCTGCAGAAATTATAATGATTAGAGGGAATTAAACATAATATAGACTTCCCCACCTTAACTTCTTGAACTTGAATGAATGAGATGAAATGCATGTGCGTCTTCGTGAGAGCTCGCCTTCTCTTAATCTATATTTTGGTTATTTAATCTTTATATTAAGGAGTTTTGATTAAGACAAAGAGTACAACAAAAATAAACAAGTAAGAGTGCATAATGCAATCAATTTAAGCAGATAACGTGCAACTAATCTCTTGAGCGCGGTGTAGCTAAAGCCACATATATTTTTGAGCTCTTTTTGTTTTGTTTTTTTTTTTTTTTTATTGAATGATAGTGTTTATACACTGCCAATAATTGCTCTAGAGAAGATAGTGTCTATTTCTTGATAATCATCCTCAAATATCGAGAATTGTTATTTATAGAAGATAGAGGGTAATAAACAATATTATCCGTGGAACACGCAGCGTGCTTTCATAGGTTCGTCGCAGCAAATTGTTAAACTATTTTGAGTGATGAGAACCAGTTCTGGGCGACAACCCTTTTTCACACTGGATTTGTTTGAAATCGATATTACGAATGTTAATTGTGGCCGAAGTGAGGGGTAATCTTCTCACATTGTGGCGATGTTGGTTTATCTCGAGATCAGTACCGAAGCTTGTTTTTCTTGGATGCGTTGAGCCAGTGTGTCCTTTAGGAGTTTTTGTGTTGGTGTTGTATTACAGGGCCTTCAGGATTACGCCGAAGTAGGTATGTCGTTC